ATATGAATAAAAGGTAAGATGATACAAATACAAATAGATCACGCATGGATCTATATATGTTAAAAGATATATATTTATGTACAATTAATAGGTGTTTTCATGATCGAGCATATTTAAAGTAGATGAGATATTTAGTTTTTTGGTTACCAAAATTATTATTTAAATGTTTATTTAAAGTCAAGTTCCAAAAACAGCAATTTCTTGTAGGCTAGCAAGTAATAGGATTCTCACTATATAAGGAGTTATATAATAATAACATTTTCTAAATTGGCATAACTTATTCCAAGTTTGTATTTATTGCTTAAGGCTTGATTGGTGCAAGTTTTTCTATTTCTACTAAATTATATTTCTATTAAAATACTTTGCAGAAACTTTTACTGTATCTGAAATCAAAAATCAATAGATAGTAAGTAAACTATCTGTTTTTTTTTTAATGGGTTGTTCTAACTTCTAACCACAGGGGCTTGGTTTAAAGGGAAACAACATAATTGAAGTCCAACAATTTAAGATTTCATTTATCAAACTATATTAATTGCTTACTTGGTTATTTTGACTAATTATTCCATATTCACCAAACTAACAAATCCAATAGTCTCTTAAGATGGTTTCTTAACCGTAGAATTCAACGATCTAGATTTCTTTGTTTTTCAAACTTGTCAATTTAATGTGGAATTTCCCGCATTTGCATCCTATGCTCATACTTGCAGATTCTATTATATTTAGTAAGATTGCTGGTTTTAAGAACTAGTGATGATATTATTTGATAATTTATATGTTTCAAAACCAAACATCAAGCTGGAACCATAATTCTTTTACATACATGATTTTGTAGAACTGTTCTTTTATATTTCTTTAAATGTGAAGTTAATTTGTAGCATGCTTTAAAAACAGAAAACAGTTGTACATGTGAACATGTGACATGAAGATTTTGAACCTAATCGAGATTGATTTTATCCAAATCCTACATGTACACCATTTTGGAATAGCTCACTTGCTAACAACAAGTTGCTTTATCAAATTGTCTATGTTTTTTTGCCAAGAATTCATATCAACTTGGTGGGAAATACTCTTTTCAGATCTCACATTAATCACGTTGCAAACTTTATACATTACTTTGCTTTAGATTAGGCATTCGATTTGTTGGGGATGTTTAACCCCAAAAATGTAAGTTTGTTTGGATTTTCGGTTTAAAAATCTCTATGAAATGTATTAGAAATATAGTTTCATTAGTGAAATGATAGTTCCGATAATAGATGATGTATTTTGAGTAATTGATTATGAGTTAGAGTGAAACATAGCATAATATTAATTACAAACACACGTGTTGTTCAACCCATACCTTATAGATATATCTGATTCAAAATTTGTATGAATCAATCCGTTTCTAAATTGATCAGACAAATTAACTATGTAATGAACTTATGTGAATAATTTCAATTGAATAGCTAAAAGAGCCACCTCAAGATGATGTGTTAGAGACATCAAAAGTGAGATGAATTCAAATAATTTATATAATAAACAGGAAAATATATTTAATACTAATTATTTTAGAGTTGAAGCTCGCGAAATTTAGTGGGTGATTGGTTGGGATGTAGTTGTAGGTTAATTGCTATAGAATTTGGGCTGTAGAGGTTTTGGCTATAGCTGTAGAATTTGGGGTGTAGACATTTTTGCTGTAGCTGGAGCATTTGGACCGTAGATATATTTGTTGTAGCTGTAGAATTTTGCTGTAACTATCTTAAAACTAACGAATGATTGGTACGTATTAGATATATAGAATAATTATCTATTAGTTGACAAAAAAATTATAGTTGTTTATCATATAAATTTTTCAAAATAAAATAAATTATATTTGTAGAGTAATATAGATGGAAAAAATATTTAAAAATGCTACATCTATATATACAATATTATTTTATATGAATAGTAGTGTGTATTAATACTACTTTCTGTATAGATAATGAAATTAATACAATAAGTATATATATATAATATTACAACAGAGTAATATGTATTAAGTGACCCAATAACGTTAAATATATTAACTCAGCAACGAACCAATGTCAATTAATCAATACAAAGAACTTGGTTTTAACCCTCGTATTGTATATATATATATATCTAACAATAATAATTATTCTTACGTTTATGTGAG